GCCCCAAACACCATGTTTATAAGAGGAAGGGCTTTATTCACCAGCTGGGAGCTTATGGCATAGAAGAATTACAAATGGTCACGCTCCCCAACTGGCTTGGTCTTTCCGTTTTTATTGACAGTCAAAAATTTCCACCCCACAAGTACCCTTCTCATTGGCCAGTTTGAATCAAGTAGGAGATGCTATTCCAGCCCCTACAGAACCACAGGATTTCACAGAACTTGGAAATTTCCACATTATAAATTCCCAAGAGCTGAGTCACTCTTGGGAATGGAGTGGACCTTGCAGGTGTATCCATGTGGTCTCCTTAAGACCTGTTCTCCTAGACCTCACCGTTCTTGGGTATCCTCTCATTAGCACTGGGGTGCTGATGGTCTCTGCACAGAAGCTACCTCTTAGGTAACAGGGAAGAGTGGGTTATGCCTTCTGTATTAGTTGTCTTCAGCTTTGTAACAATTTTATCACAAATTTAGTAGCTTAAAATAACACACATTGATTATCTCAGTGTTTATTTAGGTCAGGAGTCCAGCACAACTTAGCTTTGCCCACTGCTTCAGGGTCTCACAAGGCTATAATCAAGGTGAGCTGTAGTCTCATCTGAGGCTCAACAGGGGGAAGAATCTGCTCTAATCTCCTGTGATTACTGGTGGCATTCTATTCTTTGAAGCCTGCTGGATTGAGGATCCCAGTTTCTTGCTGGCTGATGGCTGGAGGCTGCTCTCAGATCTGTGCTGTGTGGTCTTCTCTACAGGGCAGCCTACAACATGGCAGCTTGCAACTTCAAGGCCAGCAAGACAGCATCCTCTAGCAAGATGGGTTACCATCTTATGTAACATAGTCATATACAAAACCTCATTCTATTGGTTAGGAGCCAGTCCGATCCTGCGCACACAAAGGCATGGACATCAGGAGGTGAGGATTCTAGGGGCCACCCATGAGTCTATTTACTACACACACCTTCCTTGTTGATCACTATGTCTAATGAAAACTACTCCTTGAATTGTCTGAAAGTTTAGCTTAGCTCTCCATGAATTATAATCTGTGAAAAGGCACTTGGATTGGGGATTGCCCTTTGATGATCTCTCTAACTCTCAAACCCTCCTATCATCCAAAAGTTCCTTCCCCTCATTGAGAATGACTCAAAACACATTAGATAACAAAAGCTGGCACATTTTACCAGTGCCTCACACTTTTACACATCCTGTTACACATATTTAGCAACGGAGTGACATGATTGAGCAAACTTAAAAAATAAATTTTTTTAAAAAGGGTTTATTGATATATAATTCTTGTGTCATATAATTAACCCACTTAGAGTGTTTAATTTAATGGCTTTTAGTATATTCACAGAGTTGTGCCACCATCACCAAAATCAATTTTAGAACATTTCATCAGCCCCAAAAGAAATTCCTAAGCTGACCCCTTGCCCCAGTCAATTACTAATCTACTCTTTTTTTTTTTTTTTTTTTTTTTGATGGAGCCTCAAGCTGTCCCCCTGGGTAGAGTGCCATGGCTTCACAGCTCACAGCAACCTCCAACTCCTGGGCTCAAGCGAGTCTCCTGCCTCCGCCTCCCAAGTAGCTGGGACCACAGGCCCCCGCCACAACGCCTGGCTAGTTTTTGGTTGCAGCTGTCATTGTTGTTTGGCGGGCCGGGCTGAATTCGAACCTGCCACCTTAGGTGTATGTGGCTGGCGCCTTAGCCACTTGAGCCACAGGGGCTGAGCCTACTAATCTACTCTTTATCTCTACAGATTTGCTTTTTCTGGACATTTCATATGAATGAGATAATATAATAGGTGGTCTAGCTTCTTTCACTTAGCACATTTTTAGAGTTCATCCACATTGTAGCATGTATTAGCACTACATTTCTTTTTATATTCTATTGTAGGAACAAACTCCATTTTATTTATCTGTTCATTAGTTGATGAACATTTAGGTTATTTCCTTTTTTTTTTTTTAAAGAAAGGAAATTTTTTCAAACAATGCTGCTATGAACATTTGTGTACAAATTTCTGTTTGGATATATTGTTTTCATTTTTCTTGGGTATATATCTAGGAATGGAATTGTGGAGCCACATGCTAACTCTGTGTTTAACCTTTTAGGAACTGCCAGACTGTTTTCCAAAGTGACTGCAATGTTTTATATTCCCATCAGCAGTGTATAAGGTTCCATTCTCTCCACTGCCTTATCAACATTTGTTACTATCTATCTTATTTTTTAAATAACCATCCTACTGGATATGATTTTGCTTTGCATTTTCCTAATGGCTAATGATATTGAGTAGTGTTTCATGTCCTTACTGACCATTTGTATATCTTCTTCTTCTTCTTTTTTGAGGCAGAGGCTCAAGCTGTCACCCTGGATAGAGTGCTGTGGCATCACAGCTCACAGCAACCTCCAACTCCTGGGGTCAAGCGATCCTTCTGCCTCTGCCTCCAAGTAGCTGGGACTACCGGTGCCCACCACAACACCTGGCTATTTTTTGGTTGCAGCCATCATTGTTGTTTTTGGTGGGCCAGGGCTGGATTTGAACCCACCAGCTCAGGTGTATGTGGCTGGTGCCTTAGCCGCTTGAGCCACAGGTGCTGAGCCCATTTGTATATCTTCTTTGGAAAAACCTCTGTGCAGATGCTTTTCTCATTTTTAAATTTAGGTTTACAATGACTTTGGATATATCACTAAAGAATTGTGTTCATTGAAGAAAACCTAGAAACTATGCACAAAGCATAATAAAATGATAAATGCCACTTAGCAAGCACACACTGCAAACACTGTGCTAAACTTCTTCCATGCTTGCCCAAAGTCACATGGATAAATATAATAGTAGCTAATGTTTATTGAGCTTCTGTTACGTGCCAGGCCCTCTTCCATTTATCATCTCAATTAATCCTCCAACAGCCTGTCAGAAGAGGGTGCTGTTCTCATATTTACTTTCCAATAAAGAAACTGAGGCACCAAATTGTTATGTATCGTAGCTTACATGCACGCAGCCTGCTGGTAGCAGAGGCAGGACTCGGACTCCTGCAGTCTGTCTCTACAGCTTTGCACTCAACTTTCACCTTGTGTATTTCTGAATCCAGGGGCTCTGAGCGGAACCATGAACTACACAATCTCTTATTCTCTTTAAGTAAAATAATTATCTTTTTTGATGACTGCTATTTAATGCAAAACAGCAGACATTTCCCTGAGAGATCACTTAAGATTTAGAAGTTGTGTAATTTCTACTGACTCTATCTTCTTTTTCTTTTTTCTTCTCTTTCTCTTCCTTTTATTTCTCTGTTTCCTTTTTTCTTCCATAGGCTTTGGGAAGCATAGTAACCAATCTTTCTATTCTCATTCTCATTACTGCAAAATGAACTTGAAAATTGTGAAGATGATGTTCTCTTTGTCTACATGCCCAAGAATCATTTGGACTTAGGGTAGGGCATTGTACCTCCCTTCTGTGAGAGCCGGAACAGAGTTTTGCTGTGATTCCAGACTTCCAGGGCTTCACGACCTGTCTTCAACTATCTTTGCAACTTATTATGTCTGCTATTTTAAACAAATGACTTACCCTCTGTGCTCACCTTACCGTGCCTGGCACAGAGTGAAGGATCTGGGAGCAGGGAGACAGGATCCAGGCTGATTTCCTAGCTTTGCACATGTGTGGTCTTGGGCAAGTCCCTTCACCTCGTTGGGTATAACTTTGCCCTGCTGTGAAATAAATGGATCGGACCAGAGAATCTCTGAGGTTTCTTCCAGCTCTGACCTTCTGTGCCCTATGCCTATCTCCGAGTTGTAAAGAATGGGCACTAAGGTGATGTCTTATTCAGAAAACCATTTTTTTTTGTTGAGAATCATAAATTCTAGGTAAAGACTCTAGGGGAAATTGGGTGAGGCCTGGAAGGCTGTGTGGGGAATGCGATGCACGGCTCTTTCCAGGCAGGGGATGGGCGTGGCGGCGCGCCGAGCCGGGTGCGCCGGCAGCAGAGCATCCCTGCAGGCTGAGAGGGCGTCTGCGGGCTAGCGCGGAGGCCGACGCCAGCTAGGTCCGTGGAAGCAGCGGCTGCGCACTGGCACTACCAGCCGATCGATTTGCGTGTCTCCGCCTCTGCGACAAGCTGGTTGGGGGGCTTATCTGGCGCTGTGCGCCGATTGGCTATGCGACCCGCCGCTCAGGCCTAGGAGCGGACGGTTCCTACTGCGGCTGGGAACCGGCTGGGCTCCCGCGTCGGCCCGCGCTCCAGCTGCGCTCGGTCCGGCCCCGGCCCGGCTCGGCCCGGCCCCGGCCTCCGAGCGAAGGCGCCGCTGCCACTGGGCCGCTCCTAAGGCCATGAGGAGGCGGTGGCAAACACTGTGGCACGCGTCAAGGTGACCGGCCGGGACTGCGGCGGCTGCGAGAGCGGCGGTGAGAGGAGCGGCCGGCGGGCGGGGCGGGGCCCCGTGGGCCGGGCCGAGGAAGCTGCAGGTGCGGGGGGCGGGGCCCGGAGAAGCCGCTGGAGCAGGGGAGGGGCCTCGGTGCAGGAGGCGGGGCCGGAGGGCGGGGGTCAGTCGGCGTGTGGTGAGCTGAGCGCTGGAACCGGGCCCGGGCCGTAGGTGTGTTGGTCCCGGGGAGTATGAAGGACAGCAGGTGTGGGGGTGGCGCGGGGAAAGAGCGCAGGTGCGAGGGGCGGGGCTGTTGCAGTTGGGCGGGGCCGAGGGGGCTGCAGGTGCGGGGGGCGGGGCCAGAAGGGACCGCAGGTTTGCTGATGGGAGGAGCCTGCGAAGTGAGGCCAAAGCGGCCGGAGAGCCGGGGCCCGAGGAAAGCACAGGTGCAAGGGGCGGGTCTCGGGAGACCGGCAGGAACGGGGGGGCGGGGTCCCGATTGGTGGCAGCTCTTGAAACCCGGCCACAGGTGAGGAACGGGCGGACGGTGGGTGGTCGCTGGAGAGGGAAGGCCAACGCTCTCCGTGGTCCGGGGAAGCCTGGGCGGGAGCTGGAGCTCTGTGCTGTCTGCGGGTTCTGGAGGCATCCAGGGTTGCCGCTGAAGGGCTGTTCGGGCCTGCCCGAGCCTCTGCTGAGTCCTACTTGGAGCTCGGCTGTCCCGCTTACTAGGCCGGCTGCTCTCCCACTCCCCCCGCCCCAGTACCAAGCGTAGCCTAAGTGGGGCGTGCCTTTTTTCATACCTCAGAGACTTTCCAGTTGCAATTGAAGGGCTATGCCTAGATTGGGGGGTGCATTGGATGGTCAGCTGTTAAAAATGCCTGTGCTTGAAGAATAGTGTAAAGCTTGTAGAGGTCCTGGCTTGTTGGCTCTCAGTACCAGATGCTGCTACAAATCTTAACAGTGCTAGTCTCAAAAAGACTGAAATGGCAGCCTGCTGAGGGGGGAGAGCAGAAAAGATAATTCAGAAGCTTTGAGTCTGTTACTTGGGAGAGTCAGTCACCTCTCTGAGATTTGTTTCCCCTTGGCAAAATGAGCGTCGTGGTACCTGCCTTGTGTGCCTTCTGGGAGCATTGTGAGATAGCATGAAGCAGTGCTGGCCGAGTGTATCTTTGAAAAAAGTTACAAGCCCCTTTCTTGTGCTGAAAGGGCAGGCTGGAGTCCAGAACTGGAGAGTCTAAGGAGGAGAGGGTTACAAGGGAAGAGGTGGGAATAGACCACCTTTCTTGTTGAAGTTTGGGATGAGGTTTGTGTTGAAGAGTCTCCAAAAGACTCAGTTGTCTCTTGGATCAGGACTGCTACTCTCTCCCAGGCCTCTGAGGGAGCTGTGGCAACCCCCAGAATAATGAATGACAAGCAGAAAGTGGAGGAGCTTTCGATTGTTTGCTGACCTTTAGCCCACAACCTCGGTGAGGACTCTGAGCTGGTGCATGAGGCTTAGGGTTGAGCCTTGTGGAATTCTCCCTCCGCTGCCCAAGAGAGCCTGATTTTATCACATTCCAAAGGAAGACACCAAAAAGAAGGGAACACCAGATTTCATTAGGTCCCCACAAGAGTGGAGAAAAGAGAGTGCAATGGCGAGGATCTCTCTGGATTTCAGAAGAGCGTCCCATACCCATTTCTGTGACCTTTGTGTATCCAGGGCCTCTGCTCACTAGTAGCTGACTAGTCTAAACTATAACACCTGTTACTCACACAGCATGGACAGAAGAGCAGGCAGGGGGAGGCTTCTCTACTGGCTGGTGTTTTCTTCACTGGAGAAGCTATTGGACTTTTGGGGACCAAACACCATGGTGCTGGCTTTCCTCATTACCAGTGGTGGGCATGGTGGTGGCCCAGTGACATCATGGGGATGGCATCTCTTATGGTGCCTGCATGTATGTGGCAGGTACCAGAGGATCCAGAAGCAGCATGTGTGAGTTGTACCTCTTTGTTCTGGCAGATACCATGGAAGTGGAAAGCACTCAGAGACTGTTGCCCTCTGGGTGACCATCATGCTTCGTGGGTTAAAAGGAAAGCCCCAACTTGGTGGCACACAAAAGCTAGAACATGTGGTGGATAACATTAGGGTTGGCTTTTTGATTTGGTTTCACTGGAGTGACAGCATTCAGAGTTGAGAGAAAAACTTCATTAATGGGAAAATATAGCATCCAAGGCTCTCTGTGATAGGGCCTCAGTCTACCTATTATAATAGGTTTCCTTTTCAGTAAGAGCTCTGTCTTGGAAGGCAGGCAGGTCTGAGCTTGAGGCCTCAGGCCAGTACCTCCTGCTGTGTGAACCATCATGGGTTCCTCAGCTTCTCATAGTTTTGGTTTCCTTATTTATAAAACGAGGATAACTGTGCCAACCTTGTGAGGTTGTTATGAAGAATAAATGAGACAAGATTAGTCAAGATGTGGGAAAGCATGTGGTCCTTTTGACACTCAGTGTTAGGGTCCTTTTCTGCCTGAACTTCTCAGAGCAGCATATAGCATGCGAGGGGAGCAGGATGGGGAATTCTGAAGCCTTCATTTTGTATGTGGCCTTGAACAAATGGCTTCTCTCCAGGCTGAGTGAGGTGGGTTTTAGGCTATGTGAACATTAAGACTGCTTCTGGCTCAGCATTTGGATTAGTATGCTATCATATATTCCTGAAAGGCAAGAGGAAGGAAACTACCTGTTGTTTAGTTCTTCTTCTAAAAATATCTGTGTAACACTTCACCTAACATATAGTAGGTGCTCATTAAATTATACTTATTGAAAGAACAGATAAAGGTCTTTAGGAAGAAGGGATAGCAAATTGTCTCTGCTGCTTTTATATGTATTCTGTCTGTACCTTCAACATGCATTTTGTTTATTGCACAGAAGATATTGTAATGTTAGTGAACTTCATAAAAGACAAAATTGTTTCACAGTTCTATTTGGTTGCAAATTAAGTTTGTCCAATTTTTGTTAATAAGCATACATAACTTTTCATAGTTGCAATCATAGGTATGTGATGCATGTGAGCATTTGTGAAAGGCCCTGCAATAAATGGTTTCTTTAAAATTTTTTTTAAGAAGTAGAAAAATCACACATGAATTTTTCTAAGCCAAATAGAGGAATACATTGTAAAATAAGTGTCTTTCTTTAAGCTGTTTGTTCCCAATCCTTCTCCCTAGAGGAAACCATTATTACCAGTTTGTTTATTATGTATTATTTTTCTACACAATAGATTTCTATAGAATATCATTCTATACATATTTTTGCTTCTTCATTTGTTCACTTAATCTATTTTAGAAATTGTTCCATTGTTGGAAAATGTTCCAGTTGGTACATACAGTTCTCCTTAATAAATGATTTTGACTCATTTTATTAGCACAATTTTGTGTCTTCATCTCTTTCTCCTAATGATGTTTACTCAGTGATGGCTAGCAGTCATTGTTTAGAAGACTAACAAGAGACATCCCTTGTCCTCCTCTAGGAGAAAAATGGCTTTGGTCCCAGTGAACAGTAGATGAAAGGGCAATCCATGTATCTGGATGCAAAGCAGAGAACTGAAAGAGAAAGGGGAAGGGATTTGTTTGCTGGTAATTGTGAACTAATTTTCTTTAGTCCGTGATTCAAAGTCCAGCTCTATCACTGTGACTTGGGACAGTTTAATCTCTCTGTATCTCAGTTTTCCTATCTGTAAAATGGATAATGATAATAGGATTGGTCTTTGGGGGGTTTGTGTAGAGGAAATGAGATCATTTACACACAGTACGTGCAGCAGTAGCAGGTCATGGTAGATGTTCAGGAAGGGTGAACTGCTGTGTTAATAATCGAAAGTAGAGTCTTCATTCTTTGTCAGCAGATATTTACTGAGCACTTCAGGGTGAGCCATACTCCCTGCTTTTGAGCTGCTCACATATGGGGTGCAGAGACTGACACACGAGCCCCTGATTACAGAACTGTGATGGGCCTGATGTGGGCAGTGTGTAGGGTCAGAGGCAGGGAGCAGTTGCTTCTTGCTGGGGATTTGGGAATGGCTCTGCAGCTCAGATTTCCTCTCCTTTGTGAAACTTACTGAGTTCTTGCAGGCAGGAGTAGCCCTGCTCCCATCTGTGCTCCTTTGACTTTTGGTATGTGGACACCTTGGTCGGAGCACACGTCATATTACTGCATGTGTGACTTTGTGCCTGTGTTTTCTTCTCCCTGCACAAGGGAAGTCTGCTGCTGGGTCTCCAGGCCTCTGCACAGAGGTGATTCTTGAGACGAGTCATGCTACCAATGGTGGTAAATGCTTATTTATAAGTTATCAGATCTCTGATGATACTCAGTCTCTGGACTTTATTTCTTCACTCCCCAAATATTTGAGTGCTGACCCTGAGACAAGCATGTGCTGTGTGCTCTGGGTATGGCTGGTGACACTTGTTCTATAAAGTCTTAGGGATAGGAGAGAAAGACATTTGTTCCAGGTGTTTCAGGTCAAGATGTGGAAACAGAAAAAAGGCAATACCAAAATGAGCCACTCATGTGCCTTTTTTTCCCTCAAAAGTGTAGCTTCTTACCCTTCTCTTGGGTGGGGTTTTAGAGGGACAGGCCAAGGGACCTGAGTAGGTAGTCTGTGGATATTTTTTTTTTTTTTAAGATAGGAGCCTCAAGCTGTCCCCCTGGGTAGAGTGCTATGACATCACAGCTCACAGCAACCTCCAACTCCTGGGCTCAAGCGAGTCTCCTGCCTCAGCCTCCCGAGTAGCTGGGACCACAGGCGCTCGCCACAACGCCCGGCTATTTTTTGGTCGTCATTGTTGTTTGGCGGGCCTGGGCTGGATTTGAACCCACCACCTTAGGTGAACGTGGCTGGTGCCTTAGCCACTTGATCCTCAGGTGCCAAGCCGATTTTGTTTTTTGTAGTTTTTGACTGGGGCTGGGTTTGACCCTGCCACTTCTGGTATATGGGGCCAGCGCCCTACTCCTTTGAGCCACAGGTGCTGCCCTACTCTGTGGATTTTTTTTTTTTTTTTTTTTTGAGACAGAGCCTCA